AATAAAAAGGGTGGGGGAAGGAAAAGACCCCTAAAGGAGTGAAAATAAGGAGTTACAAGGATTGAAAAAAGAGGAAAAAGAAGGAAAAGCAAGAAAAGCAGGGAAAGATCAAGAAGGGAATAACGAGTTATGAAAAGGAATCTTTAAATGGAGGGGGACAGAAAAAAGTATCCAAAAAAACCCAGTGAAAATTAAATCAAAGCACTGCAGGCAGTGGGAATGGGAAAGAAAGGGAGAAGTAGGGAAAAGAGAAGGGAAAAGTAGGAAAAGAGAAAGTAAGGAAAGTACCTGAAAGGCAGAGAAAAGTCTCTTAGGTGTTGGAAACGATGGAGAGGTGGAAATAATGGCATGAAAAGAAAGGAAAATACGAGAATAGAAAAGCAAGGAAAAGGCAAGGAAGGAAAAGAAGAGGAAAAAATGGAATTACCCAGAAAAAGCATGGAAAAGACGGGAGAAAAATGGGAATTAAGTCAAACAGGGAAAAGCAGGGAGAGGATGGGAAAATGAGYGAGGGAAGGAGAAATATACCTGAAAAATATTTGGAAAAAAGTGGAGAAGGGAGGGGAAGAAACTTGAAATGCACTGAAGTGAGGAAACACCTAAAACACCTAAAAAAGTATTGAAATATGGAGAAAACAGAAGGGGAAGCCAGAAAAGATTGGCAAGAAAGGGGGAAAGACCTGAAGGGAAAGCAAAGGGGGGAAAGCAAATTCAAATCAAGAATGGCAAAGGAAGTGGGAAAGACAGGCAGGAGAAAAACAAGCAGGAAAGGTAGGAAGTGAAAATAGAAAAAAAAAACATAATGAAAATAAAGTTGGGCTGATGAAAGATCCTGAAAATTTAATGGAACTCAAAGGAAGGGGGGGGGGGGGAAGTGAATACAGGGAAAAAAGTTAAAAGCATCAAGAAAATGGGGGAAAAGGAAAGATTTGGGAGGAATTCAACAGGGCAAGAAGGAGGAAGAGGGAGGAAAGAGCAGGGGAGGGAGAGCCTGAAAAAACAGGGGGAAGAATGGCAGGGAAACAAAAACAGGGAAGACAAGACAGGAAAAGCTGGGAAAAGACAGGAAAAGAAAAAGCAGGAAAAGAAAAAGCAGGAAAAGAAAAAAGTCACAGTGAGAGGGAAAAGCAGAAAGAAAAGCAGGAAAGCAACAGGGGAAAGCTGGGATAAGCAGTGGGGAAAGCAGGGAAAGACAGACATGGAAAAAAGAATGAAAAAAAGAAAAGCAGGAGGAAAATTCAAATCTGAAAGATGGGAAAAGGAGGGGGGAAATGGGAAAAGGAAAAAAAACTGAAATGGGAAAGTGTTGGAAGAGGGAGAATGGTTGGAGTGGAAAGCAGGGAAGGGGAGAGAGAAGCACTGAGAAAAGACAGGAATTTGGGAGGCGGGAGAAAAAGACTTGAAGTGTTCCTTGAGAGGGAAATGAACTCAAGTTCCAACCTAAAAGCAAATGAAAAGGACACTGAAATTCTTTTAGCCAAAGTTACAAAGCTGGATTTTCTCTTCAGACAAAACTCTTGTCACTATTGCCACGAAGAAACTCTGGGACATCTCTGGATCTTGGAATCATCATTTTCCAAGCCCTGGCTCCTGAGATTCCGGGATTTGTCCTCGCAGGTCACTGAGGTTGTGACCTCAAGCTTGGAGAACTCAATCCCCAGGGAACGGGCACGGCCCTGAGGCTGCCAGAGCTCCAGGAGCGTTTGGACAGCGCTGCCAGGGATGCACAGGCTGGGATTGCTGGGGGGGCTGGGCAGGGACAGGGGGGGCACTGGGTGATCTTGGGGGCCCTTCCAGCTCAGGATATTCCATGATTCTCTAATGTAAATCCCTCAGCTTATTCTTGACTCCAAATGTCTCCAAAATGGGAATTTCCTTCAATTAGGGAAGGGTTTGTTGAGTTGAGCTCAATGTGCTCCATTCAGGATGAGCTTTCCTTCCTGCCTTGAGTAAAAGGAACTCCATCATCATCATCATCATCATCATCATCATCATCATCATCATCATCATCATTTCATCATCATCTCATCATCATCACCACCATCATCCTCATTACCATCCCTGCAGTCTCAGAATTATTAATTCCATCTACGAGGGAAGGAGTCCTGGATTCCTGCCCAAGCTGAAAAATCTGAAGGAAAAAACAGTTCTAAAACGGGCCAGAAAATGGCAAAGAATTCCCCAGCTGGGGAGGGGCAAGAGAGATCCTGGAGAAAGTTTTGGTTTGCATTTTCTGCTGGAGATCTTTCATTAGTTTCTTTAGAACCAACAAAATCTGTATTTAATTTTCCATCTATCATTTTCCAATCATTAACTCSGTTTTTGACAATCAACATCCATCAAATTTCTCTCCTCTCCTTTCTCAAGGGGACACCTGCAGGAGGGGGATTTGGTTATTAATTTCTCCTGCCTCAGCCGTGCTGCTCTTTTGTTACTCAACACCACAAAAACACCCACAAATCTGAAGTTTCAAGAAACTGTTGAAATTCCTGTGATTTTGCAAGAGAAGAGATTCGTAAGTCAGTGCTCAGCAGGATTCAGAGCTGTGATCACACAATTTGGATTGGAGAAGTAAAGTTTTTAACCCTTTTTTTAGAGAATCAAGATTATTTTGGGTTGAAGAGACATTAAAAATCGATTTCCAGCCCCTGCTGTAGGCAGAGACACCTCCCACTGTCCCAGGCTGCTCCCAGCCCCAATGTCCAGCCTGGCCTTGGGCACTCAAAGGGATCCAGGGGCAGCCACAGCTTCTCTGGGCACCCTGTGCCAGGGCCTGCCCACCCTCCCAGAGGGGAATTTATTCCCAATATCCCATCAGGCCCTGCACTCCTTCAGTTTAAGGCCATTCCTGTCCCTCCATCCTTGTCCTCTTCAGCTCTCCTGGAGCCCCTTCAGGCATTGGAAAGGACTTTGAGGTCCCCAGGTGAATAATTTCAGCCTGTGACTAACTGTGATGCTCCAGAACATCGACCACAAAACACAATGAACAGCAACTGCAAACCCCCTCAGGTCCAGCAGATCCCATAAACCTGACAGGGCTCAGATGGGGAACTGCCAAAAACAAATCCAGGCACCTGAATCATAACGGAAGGAAAAGCTCAGCAACCGACATGAGGTGGAAAACAAAAACAATTACAGATTTCCAACAGGAAGTTGTTTGTGTAAAACCCCACATGAACAGGGATATGGAGCAGAAAATCTCTGTTTGACCAGGTGCCTTTCTTTGCTGGGCAAATATTGGGCAGTTTAAGATGAGTCATTTTGAGTAAAATATCACAGAATTCCAAGATACCTGGGGTTGGAAAAGAACTCCAGGATCCAATCTGTGCCCGATGCCCACCTTGTCCCCAGCCCAGAGCACTCAGTGCCACCTCCAGCCCTTCCTGRGACACCTCCAGGGATGGRGAYTCCAAAGCTCCCTGGGCAGCCCCTGCCAAGGCCTGAGCACCCTTTCCATGGGCAAATTCCTCCTGGTGCCCACCCWGAGSCTCCCCTGGCCCAGCCTGAGGCYGTTCCCTCTCCTCCTGTCCCTGTTCCCTGGAGCAGAGCCCGACCCCCCCGGCTGCCCCCTCCTGTCAGGGAGTTGTGCAGAGCCACAAGGTCCTCCTGCAGAAAATTCCAATAAATAAATGATCCAAAAGTCAGGGTAAACACAAACTACCCTCGGGACACKAACACTCAGCAGTAACTCTACTCTGCAGCCACTTCCTTGTGTAATTTTGACTGAAAAGACACTTCCTTCCTATCCACAAATTCCAGACAATCTCATTGGGATGGATTTGTTCTATAAACCAACACAACACATTCTGTGTCACCAGCTTGGAGTTTTCCCTCACTCCCTCATTAGAAGGGATGTTCCTGCTTGGTTTTAATGGGAGTTCTTCCACAGAGGACCTTCAGAGKTCTTTTTTTTTCAGTTGTCCAGAATAAAAAAAAAGATGATGGAATGAAAACAGGGATGGCAGAGTGAAGAACAATGGAGATGAGCCACATTTCCCAGTGAATCCTACCCTTGTGTGCTGCAGCCCCCTCCAGACACCACTGTACTTACAGGATGGGAGCCTAAATCCTGGCAGAGCAGCCGTTCCCAAAGGACTGAGCCATCAGGATGGATCAGCACCTAAACTCACAACCTTTTAATGCAAAGAGCTGAGGCTGGAAGGCTGAGAGCTGCAATCCTTGGAGGAATCAAGAGACAAGGCAGAGAGTGAGAGGGTCAGGGCTGTGCCTGCCCCCCCTGCAGTGTCTGCTCCCAGGGCCTGTGTGTAGCAATTCCAGGTATTAGATCGGGTTTGAAAACATCTGGAATTCCAGAGGAGCTGTAAAAGCTTCACAGCTAAAGGATTTAAGGAACTCCATCTCTAGAGGTTATCCAAGTTAATCTATTTAATGTGGAATAGTTTCAAACGGGAGTCATTACTCCTGGTTCTGCCAGGCCCTGGTGGTCACCAGTTGTACCTGAACAGTCCTAGAATTGAAGGAGAATGGAAAATAACCTGGCTGCATCACTGCAGAGACAGGGACAAATCCTCCCAACTGGCAGAATCTGCAGGAAATCGGTTTTTGCAAAACTCCATCCTCCTGCACCCAAAGACAGGTGATGCAGGAGGAAGCAGGCTGGTTTCAGCCCCAAAATTCCATTCCACAGCCTCCAAACAGCTGCTCTGGGATGGGGAGGAAGCTGCAGACACAGAACACTCACAGGTGAGGATTAAAAACCCCAAACTGCAAGCACAGCCCACGAGAGCCAAGCAGAGCTGTGTTCACCCATCAGTGATTTGCAGACCTCACTGTTTCAATTAAAAACTCCAAATTAGCTGTTACGCCTCCAACTTTTACTTTCATATTTTGAAGTCTGTTTCAATGTATTTGATATTTACATATTATAGTATAATTATACCTACCATACCATGGCTTGGAGTAGGTTAATTGCATAGGAAGATTTACTACGTTTACATTATTTTTTTCTTGTTTTGTTTTTTTTTTCTTAAATTACTCTTTTTTTCTGTTGGTTTTTTTTTCTTTTTAAAAAGCACAGTAAAGAGTCTGAGGACAAATTATTCAACTGTTTATCATACATAAGACTGCATGACTATAATACAAAGGGCTTGTCTTTTCATTTAACGTTACAATATACACAGCAAGTCCGGACTAGATCTTACAATCTGAACACAGGTATTTAACCTTTTCCATGCTGTTTATGTTTACAATGCACAGAAGTCCTGTAACCAAACTGTGTAGTAAAGCACACAAAACTGGACTGTAACATAACACAGTATGCAGAAGCACTGGATTTTATGATTTTTTTTTTTCTTCTGGATGTAGAGATTATTTGTTTGAACTGCTTTAAGTTGGTTTTTTTTTTTTTTTTGGCGCTCGCTAAGGGGTGGCAACCGGCGCGCATGATGTTACCCAGATTCCATATTACCCTCATATTCCTAGACAGCAGTAAGAACTGGATTCCTTTTTTATATTGCTAAAATCAGCATCCTTTTCTAAGGTGACAGCCTTCCAAATCCTGTAAACTTCGCTGAATTACTGAGCTTCAAAAGAAAACCAAAAAAAGAAAAAAAAAAAAGGGAAAAAAAAAATCCGCTTTCATCCACAGGGTTGATGTGTCGGTACAAAAAGAAATACTTGATTAAGAAACCCATGATTTACAAAAAAATGCTAATCCCAAGGATTCRTTCCCATTTACATGGTAGTGAGCTGCTGTGTTGCCACTGTGAGTATAAAAAAATTCCACCTTTTTGACTGAGAAAACGACTTGGCCGCATGGAATTGACCATTTGCTGCTAAAATTAACTTTTCCAAGGGCTTACTGGCAGAGGTAGATCACTGCTTCTGTAAGAGAGGATGGGCAACACTGTTCATCTGGGATGGCCAATCGAGGAATTCACCTTCGTTCTTTCACCAAGGGTTTTTTGGTTTTTTTTTCCCACGCAGCTTTTTTTTTTTCCCCTCCTTTTCCCACAAAAAAAAAAAATCTCTTGGATGGGCCCGTAAATTTTGCAACTGCCAAGCTGACTGTGTTATATTAAGGCAGCGTTACCCAAAAATTAGGCACCTGTTAAATACAGCCTGCTAACCTCAGGTCTCCCGTGAGGGTTTTGCTTTACTCAGCCTATTATTTTTGGACCTGTTCATGCAATCRAGGTCTTGCCTTCAAGTTTACAATTATGTTAATAAGGAATACAAGAATCAACTGCTGGTTTCATAGCTTCTGGATCTAGTGTCCCTTTGAAACCTTCAGAAGCCTGAACACATTGATAATGTAACAGATGTTATAGTCTCCGAGTAGATGTCAATCTATTATCTTCAGTACACAGATTGCTGTAAATGTATTGGCTATGAATTCAACAACAGTTCCAGTTTTGTTTAAGCAATAGTACAGCCATAATTTTTTCAACTGACATTTAAAAATGGTCTAGTTACACCTTGTGTCAAAGTGCAGAACTGCTACATTATTGGTTACAGACATCTATGTGCTATAAAAACAGCTTTGGTACAATAAATTATCAAAAAAGAAAATAAATTTTTGTAAAATTCACAGCATAATTGTGAGGCAAAAAAGCAGTCACATAAAATTCTGCATTTTTTTTTTTTTTAAAAATGTTCAGGATGAACAGAAGACGTCTTTGTGCAGAAGTAATGGTGGAGAAACCACGTGCCGAGAAAAAAGCAAAAGAAAAAAGTAAAAAGCAGGAAGGGACACAGTTGTAGCTATTTCCATCAAACGCAAACCACTACTCCTGTGACCTTCAACCAATAAGGAAGTCAACTTTATGACACACGCAAAGTGACCTTGCAATACCTTACAATAAGTGGGTCACAAAAGTCTATTTTAAAAGAAAGGCCTCTTGAATTACCCATTCTCTGTGTTTTCAGCATTAAGGACTGTCTGCAAAAGCATGTCCAAAAGTGATTGCATCTGAAATGGTAGGCTCTTCTAACTTAAGAGTCCAAATCCATAAGGCCAAAGGTTATCCCAAAGACCACCACTTAGACCTCCCCAGGACTGGCCAGGACCGACCCGTTGATTGCTTCTCAGTGCACCTCAGTTATGAAACCAGTCAGATTTCCATCCTAACTGCCCGTGGGCTCCAAAAGGTGGCACCCACAGAATTCCCATCACAATTGCTGCTTTGATCCTCAGTAGATTCAGAAAAGGAGAGTTCTGCTCACCGCCACTTCGCATGCTCAATGTGCCTCACAAACTCCGTCACAACCGTCCCTTTTTACAGCTGAAGAATAATATATTTGTGTAATCTGAAGGTCCCTCTTTCTTACAGTACTGCATTTCTGTGCCCATGGTTGTTTGGGGAACTAAAAAAAATAGATATATTACTCACTCCCCCTCCCACCCAAAAAACTTCAAAGGGCCTTTTTTTAGAAATCATGTGCAATGCCTTTAAAAAGAAACTAGCTTGCAACTATGACTAACATTTGAACAATAACCCCTGTTGAATGAGAGCAAAAAAAAAAAAAAAAAAAATTAAAAAAAAAAAATTAAATCAAAACCCCTCCCCCAAAAAAACCAAACTATGACTAGGTTGTGGCAAGTTAAAATGGGGGAAGCAAAAGGTGAACACCACTAAGCTATCCGTTAAGGTGGGTCCAGACATGGCTCTTAAAAAAAACCAACCAAAAAAACCTCCCCCCAGCAAAAAAACCAACAAAAAAAAAACTTCATTGTCCCTTTGCAATCTTTTCAAGTTTAAAAAAATAGTCAACTTTGCCCTCCTGTAGCGGTTCAGTGAGTTTATCTCCTTCTGATTCAAGCAGCTTTGCACTTTGTTTTTGGAAAAACACCACTTCTATAAAAACACACAAGAAACAAACTTAGTTTCAGTTTAGTCACGAGCTAGCCACAGGACTTTGCTGAACACAAACTCCTGTCATGGGAGACTCTTCTCTATCAATGCCTTGCCTCATGGCAAGGTGTCCTTCAGTCATGTAATGAGCAGGACCTGTATTAGCAGAAAACTGGTACGTGGGATGTCCAGCTATGCCAGTTTCTTGGCGCGGATTAGAGTAGACTGTTAAATTCATGTCCATAGCTCCGTTCTGTCCAAAGTCCAAGGTATTAGCAGCCACTGGGCGGTTCTGATAGGCCTGATTGCCTTGGTTACCAGTAGAGGAGGAAGATGTAGAGGAAGAAGTAGTTGAGGAAGACAGGGATGTCATGGAGTGGTGACTGTGGCCCACCTCCATAGAATCCTGGGTGGAGGAGCTATTTGTTGGAGAATTGTAGACTCTCGGCCTGGTCCGGCTGCCCAAGGCTTGCTGTCCATGGTGGTGGTGGTGGTGGTGGTGATGGTGGTGGTGGTGGGAGCTGTTGCCATGGTGATGATGTAATGCATTCTGTTGTTGAGGGTTTACATGGAAGGTGGTTTCTTGAACCGGGTGGTTCTCGACAGTGACCTGGCTGGGAGCTTCAGTGGCTGTCCAACCGATGGGAGGAGGAAACTGTTGTCGAACCTGCRTGCAGGAACAAAATCAAAATTAAAATGCTGACCCCAAGCTGTCGTTTTGATGCCTTAGGATTTTTAGCTTCCATATTTTCATGTATCTGTATTCTCGTACTTCTCTAGTACAGCACTAAAGCTGCTGTTCTCCCATCTTTAGACAGAACAATTCCTCTCTGGACCTAAAACCCAAGGACACTTCGCTGCCTCAGACCCCCAAAATATGGAAACAGCAGAGAATTGGGGGGAACAAGCTTGGGGTGGGTGACATCATCACCTGAAGGTGTCATTGGAGAATTGGGGCCTGATGTGTTAATTAGACAGAACTTATAAAAGGGAAGATCTCGTGACTTGGGGTCATTTTGGGTGTAGCCTCAGGAGGAGGCTTTGTCTGCCCTCAATGTACCAGCAGGCCTGGATTAAATTTGTCTGCTTTATTCTCTTAACTTTGTTTGGCCTCTGTTTCRGGTGAGTCTTGATAASGCATCAGTTTCACTGAATCACAGAATCATAAAAGACCTCCAAGATCATCCAGTCCAACCTTTCACCAGCTTATCAACTGAGTGTCACATCCAGTCGGTTCTTGAACAATACATRAGAGATTCAGTTCTTCATATTTATGCCAATTTTTAAAAACATTAAAATGTTTTTAATGTTTGCAGGTGCACAATTATTCCAGAAATGCAGGCATGTAGTAAGGARTAACTTGTAATTTCTAACACTTTTCTATATATACCTTTTCAGAAAAATGAATGCACATCTGGATGTTTTTCTCACATGGTTTAAGTAAGTGTGATAAGTGACTTTGCTGTCAAAATTAGAGCAGCGGCTTTATGGTAATAATAATGCAGTATTTGTACAATACTTAGAAAAATAATGCCCTGACCTCTGGCTGAGGAGCRTAGAGACCCTAAGCAAAACAAATTAAATTAAAACATTGCAGCTCATACCTTGAACACTGCCAACAGCATTAGAGGAACCTCTGGAACAACACAGCTGATTAAAGGTTACTAAAAGAGCAAGGTCTATCTACACAGCAATTTGTTGTCTATGGGGAAGAATTTACAGCTTTATCTGTCCTGTGCYAATGGGATATCACTGCAGCAGCCCCGTTAGAGCATTACCTGTGGGCTGTGTGTTTCACAGTCCATAGCTTGAACAGCAGCAGTGAAGTGCCCACCACTGTGTCGATGCTGGTGTGTGGGGTCCGACCGCGCCCTTCCGCTGTTGCTCGTGCCAGAAGATCCACCTGGAAAACCCCAACAMGCTCAGTAAGTCAAGGGAACACAGTTCACAGCTAGGAAAAAATGGCAGCATAAAGATTTATGAAGTGATTCAAGGGAAGAGTACAAGATCTGTGGTAATCACTCACTTTTTTGCTCATCTGGGTTTTGGGTTTTGTTAGAGCTGTTACCTGTTCCAGCTGATTAAAATAATTGTTTAGTGATCATGACTGATATATTTTGAACAGRAGGAAAAAAAATCAACATTTCACAGAATCACAGAATATCCCCAGTTGGAAGGGACCCCCGAGGATCCTCCAGTCCAACTCCTGCCCCTGCACWGACACCCCAACAATCCCACCCCGTGCCTGAGTTRCCCAAAAGCTCCTGGAGCTCTGGCAGCCTTAGGGCCGTGCCCATTCCCTGGGGGCTCATTCAGTGCCCAACATCAGGAASCGGAATTTTGCCCCCAGTTCATGACCAAAACCCACCTGAGCTTGAAGATGTACTAGAGGTGGTTCCTGAAGACTGTGACTGCTCCATGGCAGGACTCGTGGACACGCTGTTACTCGTGTTGGTACCTTCGTCYGCTGTTTTCTTGAAGAAACTGTGCTGCAGGGCATAGTAGGGCTGGATTCGTGTCTTGGGGTCATAGTCAAGCATCCTTAAGATGAGGTCTTTGAACTTCAAGTAGTCAGCTACAGTATGACCTGACTCCCCAGCACGGCGCCCACCCGGTCCTCCTGTCTCAACTCCCAGGATATTGTGAAGTTTGCGAGTTGCCGGTGGTTTGTATTCCTGCAGGGAGGGAGCAATTGCTTGGAATCAGTGGGTGAAGCCTTGGATGTGCACAGCTTGGATATTCAAAATCAAATCAAATTAAGGAACTATTCAACATGACAGGAAATGTTATTTAACTSGTAAGASAGAACACWAATAAACAATAAAACTGYATTTTCAATAAAATATGTAAAACAAAGTAATATCTCACCATCTAAATATATCTATAGATACAATTTATCTATTTATTTATATGCATATACAATATTTTATATATATATGAATATTTATATATAATTTATATGTTTATATATAATAGAATATATAGAACACATATAATATAAAATATATATCATATCTATAGTATATATTTATATATTCATTAAATAGAAATATATTAAAATATTTAAATACAYATGTATTAATATATTAGTATACATTACTATATTACTATGTTAATATATTTAAAGAAATATATTTAAATACAAAATACATATATTGATACTAAATTGATATATGTATCTTATTTTATATATGTATATGTACATATTTATATTTATATTGTTATTGCTATAGCTACAGCTATATATTTATATTTATATTTATATTTATATTTATATTTATATTTATATTTATATTTATATTTATATTTATATTTATATTTATATTTATATTTATCTTTCCTGGTTCTTTAACCTACCCTTTTTCCATCTTTGGTCTTCTTCAAGTTCCAAGTGCTATCTGGCAACTTCTCAAAGAACTTTCTTGCTTTGGGTGCTTGGTCGAGGATGTGGGTTGGTGGTATCCCCAAAACTTCCACTATTTTATTCATCTGATCCACCTGTCCCAAAGAAAGCAGATTTGTGAAGGACAAGCAACAGCCAGCCCAGCAGTGGCACAAATGTCAGCACTCAGACAGTTAATTAATCTGAATTAACTGAATTAAMAATCTGAAGTTAATTAATTTAAGAAAAAGCCAATATGTACAAAACAAATTAAGTAGTAAGAAGGAGAGACAGGAAATTATGAATAGGCAACTGTGAGTCCTGACAAAAGCCATGTTATTGATGTTTAATCCTTTCAGAATTATCAGACTGCCCTAATTTATGCACTCCAGTTAAACAGAAGATCATGATGGGAACTAACAATGAAAAAATCGCATTACYGGTACACAACTTACCTCATTTGCCCCACTAAAGAGAGGCTCTCCAGTGTGCATCTCGACTAAAATACACCCAAGGGACCACATATCAATTGCGAGATCATAAGGCATTCCCAGTAGCACCTCTGGTGATCGATAAAAACGACTCTGGATATATTGGTATATCTGGAATGAAAGCATCTCAAGGTCACACACAGCATCCAAAGGGAATGATAATTCCATGTGAGAAAACACAAAACAACATTTTGGTGCAGGAAAAGACAAGGTATCAGAGATAATAAAATCTATACAGTCATTACAGTTATCAAAATAYCTAATTTTTAATTTTTAGGAAAATACACTCACAGAAAAATAATTAGAAAAGTTCAGATTCACTAATAGCATGTTTTGTGTTTGTGATTCTTAACATTTCATCTTATTATTGATAAGTAAAGGATTTGGATAAATAATCCAGATGTCATTTCACCTCCTGGTGTCTTCCTTCAGCCTTTCTTGCTAATTTATAGCAAAAAGTCCTTTTATTAATCTAAACCTGTGTCACATTGCTGCTTGAAATACAAATTCAATATTCTGATCTGCTCCTCCTGAATTTATTCTGGAAAAAAGCAATGGCCAATCTCAGCTCTGCAAGAGATTATTGTGGCATTTCTGTTAAAGTTAATCCATGAATTTCTGAATTCTTTTCCYAAAGATCCAACCTGCAGTGTCACTGTCACTAACAAGGGACATGCTAAAGGAATGCTCATGGAAGGAGGAGATCTTATTYGACATACATGGAATAATAAAATAATAAAAAATATTTTATTAATTAGCACTGAAGACTTCTCGAACTAAGTGTTGATACATTGTCCACTGACATGGCACAAAAACACAGCCAAGGAGAAATAAAAAAACATGGAAAATGTATCTCTCTGGTAGATTATTATCTACTGTGGCACTGAAAGGAAGTGGTGGAGTGTGAAAGTTCAAAAAATGTGTGGATGTGGCACTTGAGGACTTGGTTTAGTGGTGAATGTGGTGTTGCTGGGTCATGGTTTGGCTTGATGAGCATCAACGTCTTTTCCAATCCTGACAATTCTAGGACTCTGAAATTCATATTTAAAGCTCTTGTGGACTGTGGACATCTATTTAAAATTCAGTTATTGATTTMAAATCATCACAAATGCAGTTTCAATGAGCTAGATGAGTATTAGGACTCAGAAATATTGCATTTTTCAGCCGCRTAAACAGAATTTTCCCCGATTTTCCCTAAAACTCACCCTCTGCCCAAGCTGACACGAACTGCCAAAATCCACAATCTTGATGGCGCTCCTTTTGGGGTTGCAGAGCAGGATGTTCTCAGGTTTTAGGTCACAGTGAATGATGCTGAGCTCRGGGGTGGCCAGGAAGAGCAGGGCCGTGCACATCTGCTGCGCGAACTTGCGCGTCAGGTTGAGGGACACGCCGCGGAAGTTGGTGTTCCTCAGCAGGTCGTACAGGTTGTAGGACAGCATCTCAAACACCAAGCACAGGTGGTTCCTGAACATGAAGTGGCGCTTCAAATGCACTGGGAAAACAGGAAAATATCATTAATACAYGCTGAAATTATGGATAATTACAACGGATTTTGGAGGACTATCAATAAAATATCAGACCATCACTATTCTTTAGTTCTGTGTTATTTATAAAATATTTCTGCCATGCTTGGAGGACAAGAGGACATTTTAGACATCCTTGGGTGCACCTCAGTAAAACTGCAAAAACTTGTGAAATTTTTTAAATGTTTTAATCMATGTGTAGGAAGCTGAGCACTGAGTAAAAAAAAGCATTATTTTCTTTTTCCTGGTTCTGTGTCGTTTATGGAATATTTCTGCCATGCCAGGGGTACATTTTACACATCCTTGGCTGCCCCTCAGTAAAGCTGTATTTACCAAAAACTTGTGAAGTGATAAATTACAAAAATAAGCTATCAATCCCTTAGATTTACAGAGAAAATATTTAATTGTGAGAATAAGTTAAAACATACAACATTATTGTGATTTATAGGATGGGACTTCAACTGATTACTTCAATTAATAAAACTATCAATATCCCCAAAGGAATTATATTCATTTCCATCAGGCGCAACCTCAGTTTATGAAAGCAACCAGTCCAGCTGAAATCCAAGCCATTTTTTTCATTAAATAAATGAAATATTCATTGCATTCCTCTCTTTAGAGGCCAGCAAGGTTTGACATTGTCAAACTTTCATATTGCCACAAATGAAATAAAATTGAAGTAGGAAAAACATTCTGAAGAAAAAGCAACACATTCCCCTTTGCAGCATAATAAAATGYCGAACCAATATGAGAACTGAGACTTTTAATAAAGGTGGATTTTTGGTCATCTTGGTGTCCGTGGATTTGTTTTCTCTATTATCCCAGAGCAGATCCTTCCGTGTCCTTCACAACTTACCTGAAATAGAACTTTTTGCTCCCATTTCCAATTCCTGCCACACATCCTTGTCCAAATTCCTGTTCTCTCCCTTTTGGGACTCTGCTTCCACCATTCTGTGTCCTCGTGGTTTTCCTACATTTGATTCCAATTCCTCCCCACCCTGAGCTCACTGGACCCACCAGCTCAGCAAGAATCACCAAATATCATCACAAATATTCCCAAACAGATTTGGAAATSAGCTTAAAGCAGCCTAAACACTACAGCAAGATCTAAACCATTCATAATAAAATAAAAATGAAGAGTAATTATTTCGATACCTATGTAGTACTTCATYTCAGTGTCATGTTTGTTCATCAGCTCGAGCAGTCTCACTTCGATCTGGGCCTGGTTTAAGAAAGCCTTCTTGTTTTTGATGATTTTGATGGCCACCCACTCCTGCTCCACTCGGTCATAAGCCTTTACAACCTGCAAGAGAAGCCAAATCCATCAGGAAAATCCCTCCAGTTTTCAAAAAACCCACCCAAACTCACTTTGTCACCTTCCTGATTTCAAAGAAAATATTCTCTTTTTAAATTCAATTTCTTCTGTTGATACAACAATAAAGCTACAACTGAATGTGTGACATTTATTGCAGTGATGTCACTTTTCATGCGCATAAAATTATCAAATCATCTAAACCAAGAAAAGGACTGGTAAAATTTGAGAAGAACTAAAAACAAAATAAAAGCTCCATCCTCCTTGCAGCCTTGGCTAAAGCTGCAACCAGTCAAAACAAATGCTGCTAATGACATTTATAACAGGTTATCTCCAGCATTAATTACTGTTTTAATTTAAAAACCTAACTCAAACTAAAACCAAACTCAAGTTAAAAAATATGAACTGATGGCAAAAGGTAGAGGATTTTTCATTGTAAAATGTGACACTCAAATATATTCAAATGTTATCTCAAGTAACATGAAATAGCACAAAATAGGAGAGTGTGAATAAGCACTTGGGATAAAAGCACTGAGAAAAGAGAGTTTTAATTTGAAAATGAAATAAAATTAAATTTAAAGAAAAAGCAATAGCACTTCCAATTAAATACAACAATGATTGCCATCAATTCCATAAATACAAATGAGCCATTACCTGTCCAAAGGATCCTTTGCCTATCAAAGAGTCGATTTCATAGCGGTCCATCCACTTCTCCCCATTTTTCACAATGTAGTCATAGTTGTCATCATCATAACCATCATTGTAAACTTTCCTCTCCTTTTTGTGACTGGAATCATCTCCCTGGCCCTGCTGATGCCGCCTTTTTTTTTTTGCATAGTAAACCTGGAGGGGAAAAAGAGATTCCTTAAGAGCCCTGCTCAGAGCAGCAACTCGAGAAAGAGGAGAAACAACTTTAATTCAGCATCCTGTGCTTTTAAAGTCAATTTATACAACTGGAAAACCAAGCAATCCTCTCCTCCTATTGCTCTGTTCAAAGTCAGGTCATTATTCCAAAAGCAAGTCTTGAGGAATAATTGGAGGACTGGAAAAGCAGAGCTAAATGAATGTACTAGCACTAATAAATAATAATAATAATAATAATAATAAATGTAGTAACTTTTATCTCTGGAGTTTACAGGTGTAAAAGGAACAGAAATATCCCAGCACATTGTACACCCAGCAAAATTAGTCTGGAAACAAGAATTACCACTTGATCTTTCCACAAAACTGGGAAAGAACTCCAAGGAAATCATTAATCACCATAACAATCCCTTCACATTCCCACAGAGTTTGAACTAACTGATGTTTTCCTACATTAACCACAACAATTTTRTATTTTACATTTGTCAATAATATTTAATTAAATAATTTAGGAATAAACGCTTCAGTACTTCCCTTAAAAATCCTTAGAAACATTAATAAAGTTTTATTGAACCCAAAGTGTGCTTGTGCCACTYGTGACTCCTCGTCCTGCAAGCTCATTTGTTTATAAAACAACAGAAAATAAATCTCAGTAAAAAAGATTTCCTGTGTGCTGGACAGAGAGCAGGACCATGACACCCAYGACCTCAAACAGAATGTAAACAACKGAGAGAAAATTTGGGTTTTTGGATTTCTTCATGAGATTGYTTGTGGAAAATACATTTAAATCATGTAACCAACCCCTCAGATTAAAGTGAATATCAAAGACAGCTGGAGCCATTACCTCATTAATATGCTTGTATGTTTTGATCAAATCTACGGAGAGTTTCCTCAGTGGAGCAGTGGCTGGATCACGAAAAGTTTGGGGCATCCGCCTCTGRAATGGGAGAGTGGCACAAGTTAGAACAAAACCCAGCAATTTTATCRTATATTTATCACATTAAATGATAAWATTTCTCAGAGAAATGAGTTGTTTCATTGCAATAGGYTTATTTAAACTGACAGGAAAGACAAAAAGAAAAACATTTAAGTTACTTTGTAAATGTTAAGAATTTTTTCAAAAAGGACTAAATTCCAAGATTCCTACTCTGCTCCCACTACACCTAACAGGTCTAATCCAAATCTCTGCCAACAAAGACTCTGCCATCACTCCTGCAGCTCAGGACTGGCACATGAACTCTCATTGTATTTAAGGTAATTTAAGAAATTCCAAAGGAAATCCACAGGAACTGATGTGGGCAGTTCCCCACATTCAATGGCACCTCCAGGTTCAGGACAGAAAAYCTCAGGGTGAGTTAAATTCCACTGGGAAAACCCTTGTTCCAYGTAAGTTTTCCATCAGTATTACTGAACTAATAAATGAGCTGGAAAAGTCTAACTGCTCCTTTATTTTTTAGAGGATAAATTAATACTTTTAATGGTTGCTGTACAAAGAGCTCTTTTTCTTCCTCAATGACAAAATAAGAAGAATCACATCAAAGCAAGCCAAAAGAGGTCTCTAAGAAAGAAATTATGGAGAGTTTGTGTTTCTGAAACTGGACTGAGGYACCTGAGAGACCACCCCAGAAAGCCAAACTCCCCTTTTCCTCCTGTGTGGGCAGGGAAAAAGACATTAATTCTATTTTATTACACTTTGTAAACATCAGAAAACTGTTGGAGAGTTTCCTAAACAACCTTATTGGAYATTTACAAAACATTTTTTGTTTCTTCCTTTCATCTGGCAAACAAATGTGGCCCAAGAAATAAACCCCACTAAAAGAGAATCTCTTTTGGGTCTGTCCTTCAGCACTGAGCTGCAGCAAATCCTGATCCAGCTGTCACTGTTAAAGCCTCTTGAAATCCAAATATTTCCTTCAAATTTCTTAATCTGACTGAAAGAAGATACTGGAATATGGGAACACCGGGCGGTTTTCCAGGATGTGGCACAGGAATATCAGGAATATTGGCAGGGTTCAGTCTGTCTGTCCTGGGCTGGATCACCAGCACAGAATTGAGTTTGAATGAAGAGTCTCTATGAGGAAGAATTCTATAGTTCAGACCAACTATTCACAAAAAAATTGCTCTCATTTGGAAAGGGAGTTTGTAGGACAGGTCTTCGTGTTGAATTTCCTAATTTATAAATCAAATTTGCTTGCTTACTTAGAAAAAARTCTAATTTTTACTCTGATATAAGCAGTCCGGTGAAAAAAAAATCTGATTTGTTGCAATCCCCTAATTRTAAATAATTTCAATGCTGCAGCCAGTCCCTTATTCCAAAACTGCATTTTGACAGTCACACATTTCTGAGCAGAAACCTGAACCTGTCTGAACTTTTCCACAGGTTCTGTTTTGCTCTCCTGGGTTCATCAAGTTTTGGGTTGAGTTTTTTCCTTAACACTTGAATATTGAAAAATTGGTAACMTTCTCTTCTCTTTCAAAGAATATTCTTTTATCCTGATGATGGCAGACCACGGAACAAAGTAATTATCCAATTTATACAGCAACACTCCCCAATCCTTTATTGTTGAGGTAACATTGGTTTCTGTCTTGGCTTCAAGGAATGCTCAACCACCAAAGAAAAGGGWAAAAAAGAAGGGAAAAAAGGGGAAGAAAAGAAAAACTCCTCTATTTCCCAGACTTCAGTCTCTATCTGGTGGCCAGACAGCAACACTGCAAGCTCAGATCTCCCTAAAAACAGGACACAAATCAGAGATGCTGCATCTCAGCTTGGAGAGACAAGAAACTACTTTAATTACAATTATAAATGTCAGAAAATACCCACAAAAAGGCCTCATTTATGTGYCCTCAACACACTGGTGACAAAGCAYATTTCATGGGAACTGTGACTTTTAAYCCAGGTTTGTTGTTTGAACTCCCAGACTTTGGAGATGCAACACACAACAAACTTCTCTCTTTATGGACATTTTCTTTTTTGTCCAAACAGATGCTATTGCTCCTTTTTAAATTATTTTTATTTTGATTATGGAGAATTCTGAGCTTTATGGGATGCTTTAATCAGATTTCTTCAAAAATCCCAAGATCCACCACCATCCACACTCATTAAAAGGAGAGAGARAAAAAACCCCATAAATTCAGCTTGTGTATAGTATATGTTCCATTTCAGAAACAGAATAAATAATGAAGATTTTATCATGTCAGGGCAACTTTTAACAAGAATTCCAAGCGTAATTGTTCAATTGATCTGCATGATCACACTGATGACCAGAGACTGCTGGAATTAAACCACCATAAATAATAAAGGTGATCAGGTAGTGGGAATAACTCAATTGAGGATTTTAAACTGGTGCTGCAACACGATCTTATTGATGTGTTCAATAAGATCTATGGCCAAGATCTGTCTGTAAAACCTCAAATTATGTTGAATTATTTTAGATAAACAGAGAGAGAAGGTGTTTAACAGTCAGCCTGACCTTCCCATTCCAGGTGTTTCACCAAAGCTGAACTGCTAGAATTTGTCACCAAAAATCTCACCTCAGCTCCTTTTTCAGGAAAATCCATTTTCTGATGTTTTTGGAATTGACTGAAAACAGTTCCAGGAATCTGAGCATCCACGATGGGGATAAACAAAGCAAATAAACTTTGTTTGAAGTTGTGACAACTTTTAAGCTCTTATCTTTTATTCCCATCAGGGTGCATTGAACTCACAAGATGGAACCAGTTAAAACTGGACAGAGAAATATTAATTTGTCACTGCTACAGGAAAAGGTCCCAGAGATCCCAACTTTCTTTTCACTCTGGACCATGAGCTCCCCCACTTCCCTGAAACTGAAGTGCTCATCAGCCACAGCCGAGAGCAGGACCCCTCCTGCCAGCACTTTTTAGGAAAAAAAAATCCCTAAAACCAACTCCTGGAGGAAAAAAATTTAACAAGACAGAGCTGGAAGTTTTTAACTGTAATTTAAAACCTCATAAATAAGTGAAAAACAAAACAATCTGTCTGGTTTTGGAATATCTTCCTAGAATTCTTTGATCCTTGTCAGTGATRGGTTTGGGGACCACAGCCAGAAAGCCAGAAGTACAAGAAAAGATTATGTAAATAATCTTTTAAGAGCAACTTATATGTAATTATTTATATTACTTACAWGTAATACAAATACATAGATTTAATATAATTTTCATACAAATTGTCATTATTGTTTCCTAACCTTTAATCTGCAACTGTGAATGATTCCCAAAATACCAGAATATGGCCTGCAAGCCACTGTAATCCAATATCCAAACAGGACAGAGCAGAATAAAAGCAATAAATTCACATTCAAGACTTGGCTTCCYTTTTCTCTGGTTATGAATTAAAATCATTACAGGAACCTGAACCAGACTTTCCATAAAAAAAAGGAGCCAGTCTGCGGTAAAGACACAAAAATAATCTGCAAGAACATAATCAGGTAATTATTGAAGCTCGGGGAGTTCGTGGAAAGGATTGGATATCTGCGAGAGGAGCTTTCCCAGCACAGCACCGCGGCGTTGTGGCCAGYAGAGGGGGGCTGGAGCTCGGGAAAGGCTCCACCAGGAATCCCGGCCGGGAAAATCCCGATTTCTGACCCCTCTGGGTGCTCAATCTACCAGGGAACCGGAGCGAAAGGGCTGYAAATCTCTGTCAATCACCTGCTGGGTGCTGACCCCCAAACAGGGCACTCCTGGGGTACCAGAGAAGTTACCTTTAGGGCACCCTAACAGTTTACTTTTAGGGCACCCAATTAGGTTTCTTTTAGGGCACCCAAACAGGTTATTTTAGGGCATCCAAATAAGTTACTTTCAGGGCACCCAAACTGTTATTTTTAGGGCATCCAAGCAGKTTATTTTAGGGCACCYAAACAGGTTATTTTAGKGCACCCAAATACATTACTTTTAGGGTACCCGAACTGGTTGGTTTTAGGGCACCCAGAAAGTTCCTTTTAGGCTGTGGAAAGCAGTGGCACCCAAGCTGCTCTGATGGTCCAGGCTGCAGATGTTAGGAAATTCCAGGAACTGAATCTCCAAGACCCAATCCTTGCCTGTTTGACTGGATGTAAACCACTGCATTAAAAAGATCCACCCTGAAGGATCAAACTTCCTGAGTCTGCCTGAAGTCACCTTTTTACTCCTATTTTTATGGCTGTAGTAAGATCAAACTATCAAACCTTCAACAGCCAATTCCTTTCACTGCACATTAAAAATAGGATCTTCTGGAAGGTGGGAAGATTGGAGAAAAGGAGGCTCCGGGGACCTTGTGGCTCTGCCCCATCCCTGACAGGAGGGGGCAGCCGGGGGGATCGAGCTCCGCTCCCAGGGAACAGGGACAGGAGGAGAGGGAACATCTTCCAGTTGTACCAGGAGAGGTTTAAATTGGATTTTAGGGAAAATTTCCCCATGGAAAGGGTGCTCAGGCCTTGGCAGGGGCTGCCCAGGGAGCTTTGGAGTCCCCATCTCTGGAGGTGTCCCAGGAAGGGCTGGAGGTGGCACTGAGTGCTCTGGGCTGGGGCACAGCTGGGACTCATCTTGGGGATCTTTTCCAGCTGAAATGATCCTGGAATTCGGTGCTATGAACGTGGAAAGGTAAAAGTCACCTTTTGTGACTGAAGAGTTTACCATGACCAAAGATTAGTCTGTGCTGGACGTTCCACAAGGAGATGGCAGAGAAAACAAGTGATGGGATTCCACCAGAGGAATGAAATAATCACACCAAGACAAGTTCAGAAATGTTCTCTGCAAGGTTCCTTTCCAGAACTGCTTTTATCAAAGCCAGAGAGAAATAAATTCCAACATATTCAAGGCAATACCTTGGAAAAATAGGATTCCTGTAGGAATGTYATAAAGAAAGAATCAGTAAAATTTAGGGATCAATAGGAAACAAAACTCCAGCTGTTTGCAGATCATATCTGGAGAGAAAAGCACAAAGCCTTTAGCCACAGAAGTCAAGGCTTTTTAAAGAAAATAAAAGTTTTGTTTTAATAAAGATAACCAGAGCTGAAAAGGGGCAACCTCAAGAGAAGGAACAAGGAATTGGTTGARCAGAGAGACAAGGTCTAGAGATGATTTGAGCCACCAGCATGAAGATCTCAGCYAGATCTGGCTGTGCGAAGACAAAAAGCCACTGAGAGCCCCCACAGAGCCTCACCCAGAAGCTCCACTCCCACCAGGAACCCGGTGAGGCGATCTCTTGGTGGGACTGGGTGATGGGAGAAGCACAAGAACTCAAGGGAGGAAACAGGCAGGGGAAAGCAAGTGCTCAGAAGACTTCAGAAAGTCACCAACCATCAACGTCAAGAACACTGATTTTATAAAACTGTTTTGGTGGAGCAAAGACAGCTCGATTGCCATGATTGAGGTGGCCAGCTGATCATTTCCTCATGTGGATAAAGTCCATACGAACTAAAATTCCTTAAGCTTGTTTYTGAAGTGACTGGAATGGTTTAAGGTGTAACTTTTGCTAACTGACTGGTTGTCTGACCAACCAACCTCATTGTGGAGGATTTGGGAGACCTCTAACCTAAAAAAGTCATGTAAAATAACTCTGTAGATCTTCCAGCTAAATTTTATTATATAGGAGCAGATTTTCTCCTCTCCTCCTGACTGGCTCTCAGGAAAGTAAACCCATCCCTGGCCAGCTCCAGTCACTTTGCCTCAGCYATAACTGATCTCCAAATCCTGGCATCCAACATTCTGGCACTTGGTTTGACCATTCTCATCCTCCTCAATCYTTTCCCCTTCCTGCAAAAGGGTCTTCCTGCAGCACCAGAGCAGCTGTTGATGGTACTGGAGTCTTTTCTAAAATACCTTGAATCTGGGAGCAGCAAAACACCATCTCCACCCCCTTTAGCGAGACATTCCTCATCAGACAGCACCAAATTTTGTGAAGTTCTGACTTAGAGGTTTCAGGATTTTAAGCTCCGGACCAATCTACACTCATGTTTCTACAACTGGCCKGTGAAATTTTTTAAAAAACAACAGAATTCTCACTTATCCAGAGCAACCACAGCTCTTGTGGCTCCGGGGCACTCTGGGTTAGGGAGCTCTTTCAGCAGCTCTACCTACTCCAACAAAATACAGTTTTGTGCAAACTTCTATGCTCGAAATACACTAACCTGTGACTCAACATCGAAAAGCTCTCCATTAGAATAAAAAAGCAATCACATTCTAACAAACAGCAGAAAAAAATAGTCATTATTTTAAAGACAACTTACAGCTGTCCACTTGGCCAATCTTTCTCTCCCCTAATTTAAAAAAAATGTTGCAAATAGAATAATCATGATTAATATATTCCAGAAGTTTAGAAACTTCAGAAACTTATTTTTGAAGTTATAGTATATATATATAGAGAGAGAGAATAGAAATATTTTAAAGCATAGAGTTATATATTAATTTCATCCTTTTAGAGTCAGGAGTTAATTAGTTTTAAAAAACCCTACAGAAATAAATGCCTTGATCCTGTAATTTATGGTTGTCTCATATATAAATGGAAAAGGACTTCTCACAAGGCCCTGGAAGGAATGAAGCTGAAGGAGAGTAGGGTTAGATACAATATTGGGCAGGAATTGTTCCCTGGGAGGGTGGGCAGGCCCTGGCACAGGGTGCCCAGAGAAGCTGTGGCTGCCCCTGCATCCCTTTGAGTGCCCAAAGCCAGGCTGGACATTGGAGCCACCTGGGACAGAGGGAGGTGTCCCTGCCATGGCAGAGGGCTGGAAATACATCATTTTTAAGGTCCCTTCAACCCAAACGATCACACAACTGCACATTTCAAGAATCCCCAGATGCAAAAGGAGCTTTCCCCYGTACCTGGTTTGTCAATGGGAGTGGCTGCTCGAGCTGCTCAGCGTAGGATAAGGCCGAGACCTGCTGGTCACTGATGCTCTGCTGCCGCCGCTCACTGTACTGCTGATGCGAATGGGACATCTGTCCAGCCATCTGAAGGCCAGCAGCATGGAATGAAAACGATGGTGCAAGCCGAACAGATGAAGGTTTGCATGCTGAAGTCTCTCCTCCTGCAAAGACAAGGTGAGGGTTGAAAATATCGTCCAGTGTTTGGATTCACTGATTCCGGAGCTCATTGGCACTGAGTGGTTGTCACACAGGGGAGATTCCATAGGCAGATCCCAGAAAACATCCTTGGGGAAAGGGGATCTACARGGGCTGGACAGGAAGGACAAGGRACAAYGGCTTTAAGCTGAAGGAGGGCAGGGCCAGATGGGATATTGGRCAGGAATTGTTCCCTGGGAGGGTGGGSAGGCCCTGGCACAGGATGCCCAGAGAAGCTGTGGCTGCCCCTGGATCCCTTTGAGTGCCCAAGGCCAGGCTGGGACAATCTGGTCTGGTGGAAGGTGTCCCTGCCCACTGGAACTCGATCTTTAAAGGTCCCTTCCAACCCAAACCATTCCATGACTAATCCTGACCATCCCTTTTCCCCCATCTCCACCCGTGTGTCAGAACTCAGTCAGAATTTGACAGGGGTTATTACAAACACATTCCATATATGGTTTCCACAAAAGCCAGAAAAACACCRAAGTTCTGCCTTTCAGGGTTGCTCACAGCAGCTTTCTTGACTCTACCAAAAGAAAAGTAAACCCAGTGGCCAGCCTCAGCAGCTCATTTTTGTTTGGGGACATGATTTAGGAATGATMAGCAGCTCATCTTTGGGGACATGATTTAGGGGTGATCAGCAGCTCATCTTTATTTGGGGACATGATTTAGGGGTGATCAGCAGCTCATCTTTATTTGGGGACATGATTTAGGGGTGATCAGCAGCTCATCTTTATTTGGGGAYATGATTTAGGGGGGATTAGCAGCTCATCTTTGGGGATATGATTTAGGGGTGTCGGTGGGACTGGATGATCCCAAAGAACTCTTCCAAGCCTGGTACTCTGTGAATCCCTGATTCCCTGTCCTCTGTGTTTACGCCTCCCTACAAAGTGCAGCAAACAAAGAGCAGCTGCAATTCGAAAGCAAAATTATTGCTGAAGATTAAATTTAGAAGGAAGGTGTTAAAACAGCCGAGCACCCGACCAGCAAAGGGAAATCCCCATTTCCTTCACAGCCCAAACCTTGCAAGAAAATACAAGCAGTAGAAAACAGTATATGAATACAGGCAAGAGGTGGCTTTCTTAAAAATAATCATGTCAAAAGAAAATTAAAATAYTGAAATTGATACTGCACCATTGATTCCACACCTATGAGGGCAACAGAAATGGAATGGATGAAATCAAACACCAATTTACATTGATTATATTAAAATATTAACCATTTTAASTTAACATTGCACAGAAAATTAACTATTCTACAAAATGTCCATTAAAACCTGAGAATCAGAGTTAATCTTCCATCTCTACAACTTGGTGAATTTAGTGAACATTTCCTTTTCAGGATTCATTGAACACTCTGGTAAGAATGGCTGAACATATGTAAGACATCATCCAGTATCTCTACTTCCTGCTCTTTTAATTTCTGAGGCTCTGCTTAACCTGAAAAAAAATTATAATCTCACTTAGCAACATCATGGTGACTGAAGTAAAAGTCAAAACAATATTTAAATCAGATAGTCAAAAATACCACTAATTCTAAAGTGTAGAGCCAGTCACTTTCAAAGGTTTATATCTTGTATTTTTTTACCCCAGGCCATAGGTTTCCAACAGAGAGATACCTGGCCAATTACATAACTTAATAAAAACAAATTTTATTTTAAAAAATTCTGCCTTTCCATGTTCCTAAAAAAGCAGAAAGTTCAAATAGATAAACCCAAAAATCCTGGCACTGTGGGGTTCTCATTTACAGTTTGACTTCATAGGATATTCTGAAACTCCAAAAATCACAACAAATCTGAGGAGAAACTGAATAACACACTACATTTATGCATTTAAATAAAGTAGAAAAGTCTTTAAATAAAGAAGAAAAGTCAAAGAATGTTACAATTATAATTATCCCACAAAACAACGGTTGTAATTTGATGTTTTGGTTCAGCTCGTAACTTTTTATGCTTGTAGACCTTTTCCTCCCAAGTCCACCCACACCCAAATTCATTAATTTTATTCTTTTAGTTCAAAATTTTTTTTTTCATTTGCTGTTTGTGACTGACAAACTGSCTCTGTTGGCTTGGAGGGGAGTCCCACACCAAACGTGATATTACAAATCTGTGTCCAACAAGAACTTTTTTCTAAACCAGAAGCATAAAYGGGTTTCACAGCAAATCTGAGCAAAAGGGACACGATTACAGTCTGACCAATGTGATGACGTGAAGGATGACAAGGAGATGGATGGGAATTGGCCAACTCATTCCAAATAGAAAAGCATTTTTAGTCATCTCCTAAATGGGCTCGACCTCACCCACGTCAGCAAGAAGCAACAACCACCTGGGTCAGAAGTTGAGGTCCTTAACCTTCAACTGCCAAGAAATTCCATCTTTTCAATTTGTCCCTGTCCCTGCAGTGAAGGCACTGGAGTTCACAGCTSGGTGCTGGAAGCAGTCCTGGTCACAACACAAACACGTCACACTCAACTCYGGGCCCTGATGAAATCCCTGCCCTTGCCACATCCCAGACTTTGCTCCTGACACCTGCAATCCTATCCCAGGACATCTAGTCCCAAAAGAACACTCCTAGAAACACCAAGTGACACGGTAGGAAGAAAGGAGGGGGGAAAGAAGGACTGGTTAGAATAGAAATCTTGACCTCCTTTAGTTTTAGGTCGAGGAGTCGCTCCAGAAATCGGGACATTTGTGCACAGCCACTAATTGAGGCTCACAAAGCCTCTGGTGGCTCAGAGATTGCTTTTTGGCTCATCGGGGGAGCTCCAAACATCCAGAAAAGTCAGGGATTTGCTGACCAATAGAGCAGGAGTGAAATCKCCCAGCACTTGTTACCACACCACATCCAGAACTTCCACAGGACAGAAATATCTACAAACAAGGTRTAGTCAATCGTCAATTTTCCTCTCTAACCACTGCAAGTTCAAGTGATCACACCTTGTAAAGGACCTCGGGAAGAAAACGAAATAAAAAACCCCCAAACATATGCCAAGATCCCAAAGCATGAAGCACATTAAAGGAAGAGATTATGGATTGGGAGTGGGTAGAATTATCTTCCAAATAGGCCTTACCTAATGTTAGTTCAGGGAAAGCATAAAAATACCCACCTTGATGTGTATTTGCACTCAAAAGAGGCTCACTGCTCAGAGCTATCTGAAAATAGACACACTGCAAAAATGGATTCCCTCATCATAAAGAAGAAGGTTTATTTCTTCAAAGCATCATCTCAACACAGTGGAAGAAGTTCAAGAATACATTTATTTCTTTGGTGAGGATGGAAAATACTTTTCTCATTCAAAATAGCTGTGTTGTAAATGGATTTTTTTTGCAGATGTTTTGGGGCCTCCCCATCCCTGGAAGTGTCCAAGGCCAGGCTGGATGAGGCTCTGAGCAACCTGGGATAGTGCAAGTTATCCCTGCCCACAGCAGGGGGTGGAACTGGATAATTTTAAGGTTCTTTCCAACCCAAACCATTCTGTCACTCTATGATTTATTTACCCAAACAACAAAGACATTACTGACTCCAAGCTAAAAAATATTTTGAGATGGTGATTATTGAGGAGTCTACAAATGGTGTGATATCAGAAATGTTTGTGTAAAATTTTGTGTAGATTTTTAAGAACTCAATGCATTTTTTCAAGATTCAGTTTTTTACCTCACCCATTTGAGATCCTGTTACTCCTATTTTGATATTGGTCCACTCAATTCACTTAGAGATTAAACTCCACCCCAAAAAAGGACCTTAAGGTCGCCAGGTGGTAAAATACATCCCTGGCCCTCTCCTTTCAGCTCCAACAAGACACAAAGGAAGAGCTGCAGGTGACTCTGTGACCCCCAACAGTGGATCAGCTATCCAGAAAAAAATGTGTGGGTTGGGGCCAAAGCGCAGCTGGCCACAGGACTGGGGAACGCAACTCCCAAAGGTCTCTTCCAGCCTCAACATTCCCATATTTCTGTGCCACTAAAGTCAGCCCAAAGTGACAGATTTCTGTCTGGATCAGGAGTTAGAGCAGCTCCTCTGTAGGACTGCACCTGATAATCCCAACAGCAATTCCAAGGTTTCTTTGCATTCCTGTCACCCAGCTCATTATAGATACACTTTGCTTCTCAAAGTATCTTTGTGCCTCTCTTTGTCCCTCTGTCATACTTCTACCAGAGTGTTCTATTGAGCTATATTCAGAGTGAAAGTGAAAAGAGGAGGCAAAGTCAGACAGAAATCGTTAGAGCATTTAAAAAAGTGACATTTCCTTAATACGTCTTCATACTTCTCACCTCACAATTAAAAATTAGCCCAAAGAAAGGACCACTGTGACAGTTTGAATCCTGTGAGTGATGCAAGTTTGCCTTCAGGACTGACAAAAGTATGTCCTGAGTGCAGCAGCAGATGTTGATTCCATAACACCSGGAGATAAAGAGTTACCTTGCTGAGAACAGAACCTTTGCAACAGCCTTAAAAACACTTCCCTGCCTACTGATYCTGGTGCAAGAAGGAGCAGGTAAAAGCAGTGAAAGCCTCATCAGCATTTATTTCATAGTCCTAAAAGTTTAAATGCAGTATTTGCCCAAGTTTAAAGTGTTCAAGGCCAGGTTGGACAGGGCTTGGAGATGTCTGGGACAGTGGGAGCTGTCCCTGCTCATGGGACAGGAGGTTGGAATTCAATGATCTTTAAGGTCCCTTCCAACCCCAACCATTCCATTAACTCAGGCTGAAGCGTGAAACTTCCTCTACACAACTCATTTTCCATTCTCTTCGCCTTGCCATAATTTTTCTTCCCCTTCTTCAACCTCTTCCCCTGAAGATCACTGCTTTGACCAGAAATGTTTTGAGCTTCTTTCCCCTCRTCTCTCTCCTGTGCCACTCTCCCTTTCCACGTTTGGGTCGTTCATCCATGTGCACATAATCCCTCAATTYCCTCTCAGGGATATGTTGGCAGCTGAGTGAGAACCTGCCAGAGAATAAAGTGTGAA